TGGCACTCAGCCTTCCTTATGGCCCAACCTTCACAGCCATCCATTGCAACTGAGAAAACCACAGCCTTGACTAGATGCACTTGATGTCTCTGCTTTTTAGTATGCCGTCTAGATTTGCCATAGCTTTCCTCCCCAGGAGTGAAACTCTTTGCTTATTGCTGAGTCTTGGTGTGTCTCGATGCCTGACTTGTGCTTTTTTTGTTTTTTTGCCTTATGCCTGGCATCTCTCTTAAATACAGGTAGTCCTCGACTTACAACAATTCATTTTGCGACTGTGCAAAGTTACTATGGCTCTGGAAAAAAAGTGACTGATGACAAGTTTTTTCCCCATAGTTACAGCCGTGGCAGTATCCCTAGGGTCACATGATCGAAATTCAGATGCCTGCCAACTGGTTCATGTTTACGACGGTTGCAGTGTCCTGTGGAGTCACGTGATCCGCTTTTGCATCCTTCTGACTACCAAAGTCAACGGGGAAACCGGATTCACTTAACAACCGCATTGCTAACTTAACAAATGCAATGATTCACTTAGTAACAGTGGCAAGCAAAGTCATAAAATGGGGCAAACAAGTGTTTAGCAAGTGTTTCACTTAGCAACATAAAGTTTGGGTTCAATTGTGGTCATAACCCGTGGACTACCTGGACTACATCTGTGGGTGGGCAGAGGCCGGTTGGGGGCATTCAATTTAGGGATCTAAAATTAGGATTGGAAGCAGGGCCGTGTTTCTGGTTTTGAGTGGGAAGGAAAAGCATCCACCTACTCTTTAATGAAGTTCATGCTACACCTTCCCAGAAGCAGTCTCGTGTTTACCATTCTGGCTTTCATAAGCCTGCCCTGTGCCACTTTTCCTCCTTCCTGTTTCTTGAAGAATAGAATAGAATAATAATAGTAATACAGTCTTTGTAGGAAATATTACAGTGTTGTGGGAATTAGTTGTTTAGCATTTAGAGTGATAGCATTTGGGAAAAAACGTTCTTGTGTCTGTTTCTAATTTTGCATTGTCATTAATGACCAATAATTTATTCAAATTATCATTGAGATTGTCCAAAGTGATCAAACAGTATGTGATGACTTGTTTAAAAATAAGAACAATTTGGAAATGTCCTCTTTCTTGGAAAGCAATCTATGGATTATTTTTGTCTTTGGGCCTTTTATGTTGCGAGTCCCAATGTAAAGCAAAATCAAATCAGACCCCTATCTGATGACCATGGTAATGATCTACCACTGTTGTTGAATTACACTGAGAGCTTATGCATCAGAGACAAATTCCTTGTGTGTCTAATCACACACACTTGGCCAATTAAGAATTCCCATTCCCCATTCCATTCTATTCTAGGTAAATTCTTCATCAGAGTAAAACCGCAAACTTGGAATTCTTGAAAAAATAAAATAAAATTGTTTTTTTCCTCCTGTACCTGTTTCTGTAAGGTACTTTTTTCTAATTCTCTCTTGTCATTCATGACCAATAAGATAAAATTTAATATTTAATATAGCCTACTCTTGTGGGCTGGAACAAGGAAGTGGCAAACACTTCTCTATTGTCAAGAAAACTACAGTCATGTCGGTAAATATGTCAAGAGTTAAGATGAACGCAAGGATATTTTTAATTTTTTTAACAGTTCAAAAGAACATGGTCACAAATGAAATTGATATGTGTGTGATTACATGTGGCTTTACAGTCAGGGAATAAAATTTGTGGCAGTCCAGTATATGCACATAAATTTAGTCCATCTACACTCATTGAATTTAATAAGGAGTATTAGCCTGCAAATTGCTTTCATTAGCCTGCTGGGAAGGATATGGGAGGAACAGGGAATGACATTTTTCTGTTGAGCACAAAAGGGAAAATATATGTTTAGATCAGTGTTTCCCCCAGCCAGCATTCTGGGAGTTGAAGTCCAGACATCTTCAAGTTGACAAGGTTGAGAAACACTGGTTTAGATACATTGCTTGGCACATTAAGAAGAGAAAGCTTCATTTTTTCTCTCCTACTTTGATCATTCCTGCACATGAAAACCCACATGCCGTTTCTGCGTAGCTCCTGGTTGCTACAGATTGCATGTAAAAAAGTACATGAAAAAAAAATCACAAGTTTACTACTGTGTTTCCCCCAAAGCAAGACTTATTTTCCTTTGACCACCAAAATTAGCGCTTTGCCTTATTTTCGGGGAGGTCTTATTATTTTCGAGGTGCAGGAGGCAGCAAGCGTGGTCACCTCATGGCTGCTGCTGTGTTGCAATATTTTCGGGGAGGGCTTATTTTAGCACATGTGCTCAAAAGCCTGGTTGGGCTTATTACCGGGGAAGTCTCATTTTCAGAGAAACAGCATAGATGCTTCATTTTTAGTCATGTTTCGATTTTTTATTTAAAAAATAATAATTTATAGGTAGGGTAGGGCTGTATTCATGCAGTAACATGCATTGACTCATCTTCCCTGCTAACTAAAATACGATCGGCTAATTTGTTGGTCTGTGTTATGTGAATCCAGTCAATGAACGTGTTTGGTCTTTGTTTCAAAACCAGGCAATTCATTTCATTCACCAGTCATGATTTAGTGCTGTGTGGATCAGCCGTTAGAGATTGCCGTTCCAGTTCTGCTGTTTCATCTGCTAGTCATTTTTTTTTGAATAGTCCATATTCTGCAGCTTAAAGAGTGTATTATATTTCATCCATTTTAACAGGTATTAGTGTAAATTCATATGGAAGCTTGGATTTACCATCACATGGCATGTTACTAATGTAAATATTTATGATATATTCCAGACTCATAAAATCCTATCTCATGAGAGAGACACTTTCAAAGCTTGGATTTCTCCACATTTATTTATTATATTTGTTTGCCACCCATCTCACCATGTAGTGAGATATTAAGTTAATATCTGAATGAGAAAGAATTCCTAGTACTTCCAGTAAACCAAAGCTCAATTTGCTTGTTGCAAGCTTTGGTGTACAATATTCTTTTTAATTGCCTACATACAACATAATGGAGTGATGTCCATCCAATGTATTTCACCTTATCAGTTTTAAGAGGTATGAGATAAAAAGTGGCAGTACAGATCTATTTCTTCTATGGATGATCCAGAAATGTCTTTTGGTCCCAGTCCCATTTATACAGCGTTTCTTGTTATGGAGCCTTTGGTTCTGCGATGGGGTGAAATTGCTGAAAATAGGAGAATATCATTGGATCGGTGTTTACAAATGGTCAAGCTGTTATAGCAATGGCACTTAGACGTATATACCACTTTATAGTTCTTTACAGCCCTCTCTGAGTAGTTTACAGAGTCAGCATATTGCCCCCAACAATCTGGATCCTCATTTTACCGACCTTGGAAATATGGAAGGCTGAGTCAACCTTGAGCTCCTTCAGGATTGAACTCCAGGCTGTGGGCAGAGTTAGTCTGCAATACTGCCTTCTAACCACTGCACCACCATGCTTGTTATGAGATTAGCCATTTTTGGATTTAGGATACTGAGTTCAGTTCATCCTTATAAGATATTTTGTTGTGTTTTTCTTTCCTATCCACTATTCTTGTGTTGGCTTTCAGATTGGCTTGTTTAGAGAAACTTCATGGATCTTCCTTTGAAGTAACTCAATTTTATGCTCAACTCGGAGGAATCTTTTACCAAGTTTGCAGTCTTTCTGCTGAAGAGCAAAAGCATTTCAGTAAATAATGCCAATATAACGCAATAAAGTAAGAGCTTAGTTAACCATGATGCATCCTCTCCTTTTCTATTCCAGTGGGACTAAGACTCAAATGCTGCCTACTGCTTAAGAAGATGTGAGGTTTTTATGATTTTATGTAATAGGTCTAATATTTCAGAAAGGCATCACTTGTAAAATGAATACTACTTAAGTAGAGAAATGCTGCACATTTTCCCTTCTATGTTTTATTAAGTTTCGTTCCCTCTGTGGTTTTTTTTAATGTTTGCATTAGCGTTCCTAAGTTGCAAAATGAGCGTCCCGGATTACATGCAGTGTGCGGAAGACCATCAAACTTTACTAGTTGTGGTCCAGCCAGATGGGATTGTTCCCGAAGAGAGCTTCTTTAAGATCTACAAACGAATTTCAACAGTGAGTCAGATCAATGTCCGTGACTCTCAGCGAGTTCTTTATATCCGCTACAGACATCATTACCCACCAGAAAACAACGAATGGGGAGATTTCCAGACGCATCGCAAAGTTGTGGGATTAATAACCATCACGGATTGTTCCTCTGGCAAAGACTGGCCTCAAACTTTTGAAAAATTCCACCTTCAAAAAGAAATTTATGGCTCAACCCTTTATGATTCCCGGCTGTTTGTCTTTGGACTTCAGGGAGAAATCGCAGAGCAAACACGTACGGATGTGGCATTTTATCCTAGTTATGATGAATGTGAAAATGTGGAAAAGAGAATAGAAGACTTCATTGAGTCTCTCTTCATTGTACTGGAGTCCAAACGCCTTGACAGAGCTATCGATAAATCTGGAGATAAGATCCCACTGCTGTGTGTTCCTTTTGAAAAGAAAGATTTTGTTGGCCTGGATACAGATAGTAGGTAAGTAGATTCACTTTATATACAGATCTTCTAAAAATATTTGCCCCCAGGTATGGAGATGAGAAAAGACTATTCCTGAAAGAAATGGTGTAATTAAAAAAAACACAATTTGTAACATTCATATGCTACCAGTAATTAATTAAATTTTTCCAACATTTTTGGTGTTTTCATTATCAGATTACATTTATTTACATTTATATCCCGCTGCATTCATCCACCCTTGGCAATCTACATGATATAGCTTAAAGTGAAAACATGAATCATAAAACCCCAAACTGAAAGCACATTGTAGCCAAAATAAAATACCCAATAATAAACAAGACAAAAAAAAATGGATAAATGATGATGTACTGATTGGGACATGGTAGCTCAGTAGCTAAGATGCTGAGCTTGTCAGTCAGAAGGTTGGCAATTCAGTGGTTCGAATCCTTAGCACCACGTAACAGGGTGAGCTCCCATTACTTGTCCCAGCTTCTGTCAACCTAGCAGTTTGAAAGCACATAAAAATGCAAGCAGAAAAATAGGAACCTCCTTTGGTGGGAAGGGAACAGCGTTCCATGTTCCTTTGGCTTTTAGTCATGCCGGCCACGTGACCACCGAGACATCTTCGGACAGCGCTGGCTCTTCGTCTTTGAAATGGAGATGAGCACTACCCTCTAGAGTCGGGAACGACTAGCACATATGTGCTAGGAGAACCTTCACTGATGGAATATTTGTAGCTTAGGGTCAAACTATGGGGTCCTTGGGGCTCTTTGAGGTTGTTTTTTAAATTCTTGCAGACATTTCATTACCAACTTAGGTAACATTATCAGTGCTGCTGGTTTCTAATGGAAAGAATATATGTAGTTAATGTTGAACTGTGGAGTCCTTGATGCCCTCTGAGCTTGGTGATTTATTTATTTATTTATTTAGTTTATATGCCATCCATCTCAGTATCATGTGACACTCGGCAAGCTCTTGTTTGCCTGCCGGCTTCATCACCCCACAGGCACTGATGACGTTACCTTACTAGGTAATGAAATGTCAGCAAGCAATGTCGGTAAGCAAAACCACAAAGTTCAGATAATGTC